CCCCTGCCAAGCAGGAAACACCATCAGAGCACTCCTGACATATGGTTGTCAAGCCTCTGCTTAAAGACCTCCAAAGAAGGAGACTCCACCACACTCCTTGGCAGCAAATTCCACTGTCGAACAGCTCTTACTGTCAGGAAGTTCTTCCTAATGTTTAGGTGGAATCTTCTTTCTTGTAGTTTGGATCCATTGCTCCGTGTCCGCTTCTCTGGAGCAGCAGAAAACAACCTTTCTCCCTCCTCTATATGACATCCTTTTATATATTTGAACATGGCTATCATATCACCCCTTAACCTCCTCTTCTCCAGGCTAAACATGCCCAGCTCCCTTAGCCGTTCCTCATAAGGCATCGTTTCCAGGCCTTTGACCATTTTGGTTGCCCTCCTGAAATTGTTCCGACGCACCAGCAAACAAACCGTTTTTTAAGGTTAGCGCTTAAGGTCAGAGTTTTTTAAAAAGTACCGGTGAACTGAACCAGAGTCAAACCCAAATGTGCAATTTCATTGTCCCGGTGGAAGGAGAGTCACACCTCAGAAATAGATTGGTTTTTTTAATGAATCAGATATGAACCTCGGAACCTCATCCTTCCCCAAACACTGGTACCTAGGGCTGTCCCAGGGGGCACAATCAGGACATGCACCCCAAGCCTTGCATGCGGGGTGGGGGGAGGCACTGGCAGGACAGCCAGGACAATTCCTGGCCACTCAGGTAGGCTTTCCACCTCCTTTCTTCATAAAGCAAGGTATGGAAGGAGGAAGAGAGGGAGAACCCTGGAGGCAGTGCTCCTGCAAAGGAAAAAAAATGGGAAACTGAGGCTTCACTGTTGCAACAGCCCAAACAAGCCTAGAAGGAAGGTGAGGGGTGCTGCCACCATCCCCAAGAAGGGGAGGAGGGGGCAGGGGGGAACAAAAGCAACAGAGAGTGATTTGCCTCGAGCTCTGCAAATACTCCTGATATTTATTAGACTGCAGCTCCCTTCACCCCAGTGAGTGTGGCCAAGGATCAGCAAGGATGAAAGTTGCGGCCCAAATGTCTGTGGGCACGAAGCTGGAGAATGTTGATGTGCAGGTAAAGGTAAAGTTAAAGGGACCCCTGACCATTAGGTCCAGTCGTGACCGACTCTGGGGTTGCGGCGCTCATCTCGCTTTATTGGCCGAGGGAGCCGGCGTACAGCTTCCAGGTCATGTGGTCAGCATGACTAAGCCGCTTCTGGCGAACCAGAGCAGCGCACGGAAATGCCGTTTACCTTCCCACTGGAGTGGTACCTATTTATCTACTTGCACTGCATGCTTTCGAACTGCTAGGCTGGCAGGAGCAGGGGCCGAGCAATGGGAGGTCACCCCATCACGGGGATTCGAACCGCTGACCTTCTGATCGGCAAGCCCTTGGCTTTGTGGTTTAACCCACAGCGCCACCCGCGTCCCGATGTGCAGAGCTGCAGATAAAAACCAACGGGCTGCAGAAGAGGGAGCCCACATGATGCCCTGCAGATACTTTGGACAAAAGCTGCCATCAGCTTCGGCCAGCCTGCAGTTAGAAATGCCATCATCCAAAATGATCAGCCGGCACCACATGGGCTACAGCAACACAGTGACACCAGGCGTTTAGTTTGCATGCGTTCCGAGGCACTAAATGAAAGCCCAAAGGAACAGACTCCAACTTTAAGTTATCAAATGCTTTTTGTCAATGAGAAAATATTATCTACTTGACAATTCCACATTCACAAGGCTGTCTTACCCAACTGAACTGCCTTTCCAGGACCCAGATGTTGACTCTCTGGGTTTGCAGCCACCAGTTAATCTAGATGCAATGTACCGGTATGTGGCACAGCTGACATTGGTGTAATTGCACATTTGGCGGCTTAAAAGGGGTTTTGTGAATGGAGGCTGTATCGGATGAAGAAATACTTGCAGCCCAATCCGAAGCATGGCAGATAAAGGGAAGCCTTACTTAAAAGTAAACCCCACTGAGTCGGATGGGGCATCAGGTTACTTCCTTAATACAGTTGCACAGACAGTCAACATTATCATCCTCAGAAATCCAATACTGCGGGGGGGGGAACACCTTTCATTTAAGATATTGACGCATCTGTGAAGACCGCAAGTTTCAGTGAAGTGATTTACATGAGCTAACAGATGACTACCCAAGATATACAAGAGCTAGCCTGGCATAATGGTTAAAGTGTTGGACTAGGACCTGGGAAAGCAGGGTTTGAAGCTCACTGGGCAATCTAGAGCCACCAATCCCTAAGCCTAACCTACCTCACATGGTTGTTGTGAGGGTGAAATGGGGAGAAGAGCCATGTACACCCCTCTTGCGCTCCTTCCATCATGAAGCTCAAGGTGCTTTCCTTGAAATATCCAGGTACTGACCAGACCCAGACTACTGAGCTTCAGCAGAATGGTCGCATCCGGGATTGGGGTGGTTATTTGAAACTTAAAAGGAGCCATCTGGGTGGAATCCCAATATTTATGCTTTTTGTCTTATTGTAAGGCAAGCTGTTTAATATCCCAAGGGGGAAATCTCCCCTGCATTTATTCTATAACATTAGTATAAACGTCTCTACAGCGCAGCATTACTGCCTTGCACTACTGAGAAACGTTTCGTTCATCAGGAAGAAAAGAGAAACCCAAAACCAGAATTTGCTTCTCTCTCTCTCTGGGGAGATAAGAGCAAACATCAGCCTCTAACTTCCTTTGAGAAATTTCAGAACGCTAAGCCAAAACAACAAAAAAAGCGAACTCAACCAATGCACAGGGTAATTTCCAAGAAAGAAAGAAAAATCTTTTCAGCACCACAGCATAAACCACCAGAAAGACGACGCTACAAGCAGCCTCCTCTACCCCAGCAATGCAGATATATTTGTGCTGCCCACAACAAACCCCTCTTTATTTTCTAGATTTCTGTGGCATGAGGTTCTCTCTTTCAGAGATGAAATAAGGCATTTTTGGAACCCGTCTTCTTGAATCTATTCAGCAGTATCTATTCTTTTCCCAGGATTAAGAAATAAAAAAATTTTAAACAGATACCAGTCATAAAAATCCAGCTCTTTCCCAAAGAGAATGCAATAAGAATCAGTTTCAGCTGGCTTTCTCTCTGCATTAAGAAAGTTACTAGATCCATGTCTGGGCACAATCCCAGCCCCACAGTAACCAATCACAATTGTATTAAAGTGGATTGCTACCTTGAGCTTGAGTTGACAGCCACACGGTTTCAGAGCTAAGGTTCACCAGCAATCACCAGGTTATTATTTTTCCATGAGGCATTTACATCTCTGTCTTTCCAGTTCCAAAACATTTAAGCAACTCGCTTCCAACTGTACGGCAGCCATGATCCTCTTCAAGTTTCTAATCATGAGTTGCCAAACTGATCAGCAAAAATCAAAGCTGAAGTTCCACGCACTAGCATCCTTAAGCTCTCAGTCGCAGAAGGATACAAAGCAGCTCCTTCTTCCCTCTGCCCTTTTCCGACTTAATGGAAAGCTGTGAAGCTTGTGGGTTGGATGCAGCTTTTTAAGCTCCGATGGTTAGAGCGCGGTGCTGGTAACGCCAAGGCTGCAGGTTCGATCCCCTTACGGGACAGCTGCATATTCCTGCATTGCTGCATTGCTGGGGACTGGACTAGATCAGGGGTCAGCAAACTTTTTCAGCATGGGAGCCGGTCCACTGTCCCTCAGACCTTGTGGGGGGCCGGACTATATTTTGAAGCGGGGGAAGAATTCCTATGCCCCACAAATAACCCACAGATGCATTTTAAATAAAAGCACACATTCTACCATTTAAAAACACCAGGCAGGCCCCACAAATAACCCAGAGATGCATTTTAAATAAAAGGACACATTCTACTCATGTAAAAACATGCTGATTTCTGGACCGTCCACGGGCCAGATTGAGAAGGCGATTGGGCCAGATCCGGCCCCTGGACCTTAGTTTGCCTACCCATGGACTAGATGAACTTCTGGTCCTTTCCAATTCTACAATTCTATGAACTATTAAGCTTGAACTTGCCACCTTCAAGTTCGACGGCAGCCACAACCACAGAGTAACGTTGCCTGAAACCAACCTCATCCTCGTTCCAGTTAAACAGGCGCTACTCAACAAGCAGTGAATTTGAACCTCTTGTTAAAAATAAAAAGCTACATGTGCTTTTCAGAGGGTTTATAAACACACACACAAACCCGACAGCGCATCACCCCCTTTTGGCCCAAGCTAGCCATTGACCTCGCCTGCTTTTTGGGAGAAAAGCAATGACAAACCTAGACAGCATCTTAAAAAGCAGAGACATCACCTTGCCAACAAAGGTCTGTATAGTAAAAGCTATGGTTTTCCCAGTAGTGATGTATGGAAGCGAGAGCTGGACCATAAAGAAGGCTGATCGCCGAAGAATTGATGCTTTTGAATTATGGTGCTGGAGGAGACTCTTGAGAGTCCCATGGGCTGCAAGAAGATCAAACCTCTCCATTCTGAAGGAAATCAGCCCTGAGTGCTCACTGGAAGGACAGATCCTGAAGCTGAGGCTCCAAGACTTTGGCCACCTCATGAGAAGAGAAGACTCCCTGGAAAAGACCCTGATGTTGGGAAAGATGGAGGGCACAAGGAGAAGGGGACGACAGAGGACGAGATGGTTGGACAGTGTTCTCCAAGCTACCAGCCTGAGTTTGACCAAACTGCGGGAGGGAGGACGGGAGTCAGAGCAGATTTTTCCCTTTTCTTGCGAGGAATCCTATTTGGAATAACGGAATTTCCCTTAAAAAGGGGAAAATATTGACAGCTATGACAATAGTGCCTGGCGTGCTCTGGTCCAGGGGGTCACGAAGAGTCGGACACAACTAAACAACAACAAGAAGAAGCCATTGCCCTGATGGTCAGCCTTCCCCTGGGACCCGCGCAACCCCCTTCGGCTCCCCTTGGGCGTCGCTCAAGCCCCCCAGCCGCGCCCGTCCAGGAGCCGAGCGCCGTCGGTGCGCCCGCGCGCATCCCTGGCCGGGGATCCCCGCTTACCTGCGCTCGGAAGTAGAGGAAGAGGGCGATGCTGCAGACCACCTGGCCGAGGCCCAGCAGCGCCAGCGCGGCCAGCAGCGAGCGCGAAGCGGGCGCGGCGGAGGGCTGCGCGCTAGGCGGCGCGGGCGGCGCGGGCAGGGAAGGCAGCGGCGGGGCGCCCTCCGGCTCCTCGGCGCCGCGCAAGTACTTGGCGTAGTCTCGGCTGGCGCGCCGCATCTCCGCGCGCTCGCGCCCAAACTGCCGCCCGGAGCGCAGCGCCGCCCGACGGGCCCTTTATAGGCTCGCCCGACGGCGACGCCCAGCCGGGCCCGGCTCCGCCCCGACGGGCAGGGAGGGCAGCGCGCCGAGGAAGCCCGGCCAGGAGGCGGAAAAGCCGACGGCTGCTTGGCGTGGACGCTGCGCAATCCCGGTGGAGAGCCGTCGAGGAGCAGCAACTGCAGTAGCAACGCTGTCGCGGATCATCCGCTCCTGCGCCCGGCTGGAGAACTTCAGAATCGCCCTCCAGGGCGGAGAGAACTTCCCTGCTGCTTCGGTCATCGACTCCCCTTTTCCCTCCCCCCCCCCCCGCTTTCACTTTTCTCCTTTCACTTGGAGCGGGGGAGGGGGATTGTGTGGAAGCCGAAATCCAGCCCGCTCGCTTTAAATTTTTTCCCAAATTTTTTTTATTGGTTTTCACATTATAAACAAACAAACAAACACATAAGACAAGCAAACATAAACCATAGCCTTATTGAAAATTACACTTATTAACATTGTTAAGTGACTTCCTCGCTTCCCTTAGTTGAATTTCATTGCATGTCCTTTTAACGGTTTTCTAAATCACAGTTCTTAAAATAATTTAACTTAAACATTAGCATCCTTAGATCTTCACATTATGAAATTAAACGTATTAATTGATCACGTAACATAAATAAAATCCTAAGACAATTAAGTATCTGCAAGCTGTTTTCAGTTAGTTTAACTTAACATGTTTAACTAAGTAATCATTAAATTTAATCCACACTTCCTGATACTCCTCCTCCTTCTGGTCGCGGACTCCTCCGGTTAGGTCGGCTAGCTCCGAAAAATCCATCATCTTCATCTGCCATTCTTCTATCGTTGGTAATTCTTGGGTTTTCCACTTTTTAGCTAACAAAATACGAGCAGCGGTTGTGGCATACAAAAATAATTTAACATCTTTCTTGGGCAATTCCAAACCTGTTATTCCAAGAAGAAAAGCCTCTGGTTTCTTTCAACATTTTTTTCAATTCGTTATATATCTTTTCCCAGAAGTCTTTCACCTGGGTCTTGATAAAGCCATTGCACTCCTATTTCTGTTTGGATTAGACTGCTCTTTCGCTCTTCCTTCCTGGCATCCGCGTGGATGGTTCGAAGCAATAATCCTAAATTTAAATCCCATTGCACTCAGTTAGGAACCACGTCCAAAGAAACTTCCGTAGAACCCGGCTGCGTGTTGGCCCCCTACCGCACCTCAGAGGACCACCGACTGAAGGGGAGGAGGGTTTGGGGAATGTAACAGAACCTTTATTGTTAGCAATGGTCACATTCTGATGTCCTATTTTTGCATCCTAAGACGCTATAAAATGTATGGGACTCCACCATTTCTAAATGAAACAATTAAAGGTAAAGGGACCCCTGACCATTAGGTCCAGTCGTGGCCGACTCTGGGGTTGTGGCACTCATCTCACTTAATTGGCTGAGGGAGCCGGCATACAGCTTCCAGGTCATGTGGCCAGCATGACTAAACCGCTTCTGGCGAACCAGAGCAGTGCACGGAAACGCCGTTTACCTTCCCGCTGGAGCGGTACCTATTTATCTACTTGCACTTTGACGTGCTTTCAAACTGCTAGGTTGGCAGGAGCAGGGGCCAAGCAACGGGAGCTCACCCCATTGCGGGGATTCGAACCACTGACATTCTGATCGGCAAGTCCTAGGCTCTGTGGTTTAACCCACAGCACCACCCGCATCCCATTTAAATGAAACAATTACTTCCAAATAAAAGGAAAAAGACCACTCTGCTGCTCTACATTATTATTACTATTTATTAATTTATACACCACCCTTCATTCAAGGATAACATGAAAACGCAGAAGTACGTAACATAAAAACAAAAATAATAAAATAAACCCCTACTGTGCACAAAGAGAGAGAGGGAGAGAGCTTAAAAGGCCATGGATGGTTTAATTAGCCAAAGGTTGTTCCTAGGTACCTGGTGAAATTGGGAGAAAGACAACATCTTTGCAAAATTTGCACATATATATTTATTATTAAACTTGGCAGGACTTACACCCAGGTAAATATGGCGGGAATCAAACTGCATGTCTGCTGTTCTCTGTTTTGGAAACATGCTTTTTCAAAAAGGCTGTGCTGTGTTGCTTGAAAGCTCTCACTTTCCATGGTGCTATGGTGTTGTCTGTGGGATCAGCAGAACATTTGACAAAGCACCATCCATTTGAAGAAACAGGCCGAGCGCCACGGAAAACGCCCAGGCCTGCCTTCTCCATTGTAGGTAGGGAAAACCCTTTCCAGTTCTGTGGGACTGGGCTGCACTTCTGATACACAAACCAGCAACCACACAGGAAGCCTCAAAGGCATAACCCTGTGAGAAGACTTTCAAGACAACAGTTTATTTTCCCCACATGGAGCTCAGCACAAACATTCAAAGACCCACATGGGATACAAATGAGGAAAGCAACCTCCATGTAGGTCTTTAATTGTGCAAACTCACACTTAGTTCCATACTTCGCAATAGCTTTGTCTTATTGGGTGAGGGCTGCAAAGCGAGGTTTAATGTGTGGCTAAGTATGTGATTTATTCGTAATGATTTTAATGTTTCTGCTTCTTGTGTTTTATATTGCCTTATTTTGTTGCCATTCTTGGTGAAGGAAGGCACAGAAATCACTTTTTAAGAAATACATGAAGTAAACTCTTCCTCAGTACAGTGGTACCTCGGGTTACAGACGCTTCAGGTTACAGACGCTTCAGGTTACAGACTCCGCTAACCCAGAAATAGTACCTCAGGTTAAGAACTTTGCTTCAGGATGAGAACAGAAATCGCGGAGCGGCGGCAGCAGGAGGCCCCATTAGCTAAAGTGGTACCTCAGGTTAAGAACAGTTTCAGGTTAAGAACGGACCTCCAGAACGAATTAAGTTCTTAACCCGAGGTACCACTGTACCTGGCATTGAAATGCTATGCACAAGGCCAAAACAAGGAATTAATAAGTGTTATTTCTGAAGTTTTTATCTGGTATCTTTATACACACATGTCTGACCTTTCCCTTCCTTGACATAAAAAGAATGTTGCCGTTGGTTTTGTTTAGTTTTTGACCAAAGTGAAAATTATTCAGTATGCCTCACATCTGATCACTGACGTCCAAAACAGGCTTAGAGCTGAGCCACGGGGAGCTCTGGGACTCATTATTTGCTGCTGTGATGCTGTAACACATGTTTTCAAAGATGAATCTGCCACAAACAGGGATTTGGGATTCCATTATGGGTAGAAGGCTGGAAACAAAGACTTGAGCCAGGAGGGATGATCTGCTAGGAAGTTCTCCTACATAAGTGCCACTGAAACAGAAGGAGCTCTGCGAGAGCTGAGCAATGCTGTTTTACCAGCTCATGTTCATTTCATGAAGATTGTGCAGGAGAACTTCTTGGTGGACAGTATTTCATGTTCATCAGAGGCAGTGGGTCAGAGTCCTTACTGTCTCAGGTACCCAAATGCTTCAAAACACCATTGTTCTTTTATATATTATAGGGTAGACACAAAAGTTGTCAAGCTTTATAAATTTTGGGCCAAAGTTGTTGAGTTTCTTTTCTTTTTTTTCCAAAATCATAAAAAAGAAGCTTTGAGCTATTTCTGAGTAAATTTGCCAAAATATTCACTTTCGACATGGGTTAGTTTGTCCGGATTTTCATGCACATTTAAGCAATTTTCACCTAGACGCTGTTTACAAGGGCCAAATCCCGGGTATGTCAGGGAAATTCCGGATGTATGGCAGCCCTGATATATTAGCATGAATGCCTACCTACAATCAGGAATTAATGGTGTGACACTGCTGCTGCCTTTATGGCAGAACTTTTCATGATATTTTAGCTTGGCTGTGAGTCCAGGAAGACCTGGCCTGGTGGGCAGGACCTGGACTGACTCCAGCTACAAAAGCTGGAGTGGCTGAACAGATGCTTGGGTTGGGATATTAGTTAGGGGGTTTTGTAGGGAGGTTCTGTGGCTGTTATTATTGTCCTAATTATTTTAAACTCCTCTTTAAGTTGTGTGATTTCAAATTGGTTTTGTTGTTGTATAAATTAAGGGACGTAAGATGTGCCTGGGAGGAGAGGAGCCCGGGAGAGCAGTGATGGCCAATTGCACTGGTTCTGGGCAAGGGGAGCTATGGTGTCAGGTGTGGGGCAGGCCAGGTTAGGGGCACACAGCACAGGATGTGAACATTGTGCATGGATCAGTCAGGACAAACACTTGTCTCTGGACCCTGGACCGTCTTGGCTGATAAAAACTAGCTGGACGGGAACCAAATAAGCTCAGTCCAAATAAGCTCAGTCCAAATAAGGCTGAGGCACTGTTAGTGGGCATATCCCTAGACCACATTGGTGGGGTTACACGCCCTCTGAAGGAGCAGGTATGCTGCATGTGGGAAGAGCAAGGCAGGCGCATTGGTGTCGTCTCAGATTACTTGGGAAGGACCCAGGAGAGGAGAAGACTTAGGCAGCTATGAGAAGGCAGGGGCCTTCAGGTTTAGCAAGTGCCTCATGGGGCAAGACCTACCAAGAAGAGTAGCTGTGCTCATTGGGTCTGGCAGTCTAATAAAGAGTTAACTTCACTTACTCCATGTGATCTATTGTTGGTGGGCCGGTCCACCATCCCTCAGACCATGTGGTGGAACGGACTATATGGGGGGGGGGGTGAACGAATTCCTATGCCCCACAAATAACCCAGAGGTGCATTTTAAATAAAAGGACACATTCTACTCATGTAAAAACACACTGATTCCCGGACCATCTGTGGGCTGGATTGAGAATGCAATTGGGCTGCATCCGGCCCCCGGGCCTTAGGTTGCCTACCCCTGAGAGGTGTGCCTCCTCCACGAGAGGTCTGGAGGGCAGCGGCACAAGAAAGGGCATTTTCTGCAGTGGCTCCCCGTTTGTGGGATGCTCTCCCCAAAAAGGCTCACCTGGCTCCTTCTTTAGGCATCAGACAAAAA